TTCCTTCCTTCCTTCCTTCCTTCCTTCCTTCCTTTTTCCTCAGAAGGAAAATGTGAATTTTGGATGTTCTGAGCTTGTCCGGGCTGAGAGGAGCATTCCCAATCCCATGGATTCAGCTCCACGGATCTTTTGGATATTTTTGTTTATAAACACTGACAGCCCCATCCCACAAATTCCTCCTTCCTGCTCTTCCCTCCAGTGATCCCGGCTGGGTCACAGAAGGAAAATGGGATTTTCCAAACCCCACTCAGTCGGGAATGAGGCGTTGTTTTGGCTTCTCCAGGAATTCCCCCATAAATAATCCGGGATTTTCCAATGAGTGTCAGACCAGAATTTTAAACTCTGCTTTTTAGCCAGAGCTGGACTTTTCCTTCRTTAATTTATCCAAGCCCTCACCCATTCCCATTTCATTTATAAGGAACCTGCTCCTGGCTGAGCTCTGCCTGCAGCGGGATTTTGGGAATTGCAGGGGTGGCTGCAACACCGAAATCCCAAACACACCAACAGCATTTTCGGAGCCTCCTGTCCCATCCTCATCCCCATCTCCCGGTATTTACTGGAGCTCCAGCAGCTCCCCCAGCTCCCTCCCATCCCCGCATTCCCGCATTCCCGATTTCCCGGGAGCGCCATGTGAGACTCCCACTGCCCATCTGCGCCTTCCCAAAGCGGAGCAGCGCATTCCCGATTCCTCCCGGGAGCTGCGGGGACTCCTCCTCTGCCCCGGCAGGAGGATTGGGAATGCTCCTGGAGCCAGGGAGTTTTTGGAGCTGCTCGCTGCAGCAGCTGCCCCGTGGGCCGGGTGTTTGCGATTCCAGATCCAAACCCCCGGATTGTGATGGAAATCTCAGCGTCAGGTGTTGTTGCCGGGCGTTTCTTCCAACTTCTCCAGGGTTTGCTGTGGGATTTGGGAAAAATCTCTGGTTTTTACAGGTGATGCTTGCAAGTTTCTCTAAAAAGAATGCTTCACAAACACCTACTCGGAGCTGTACTCAGGCAAAAATATGGAAATATATTCCTGGGAATCAAGCATGGTGCAGGAAAGGGGTGTTGGATATTCTCCACCTCTTTCAGGATGATGGATGTTCACATTTATTCCAGCTCCAAMTCTGCTCATCTGTCCTGGAGTTGCCCACTGCAGCTTGGATTTTCTGCAGGAAAAAGGGATTTTATAGGATAAAAAAAATAGTTCAGGGTGAGAGAAGGTGATGCAGGAACACAAAACAGGGTCTTGAGAGATTGAAGAGTTTAAATCCTTCCCATCTCTGTGCACACAGCCTGACCCCTGGGGGAGTGAACTTTCCACCCTGGGATATTTTTCCAAGCGTTTTCCATTGTTATGGAGGGATTTAGCTCTTCACCTGTTCACTGGTGTTCCTTGAAGTTCTCTGCTGGTTGTGCTGAGCCACGTCCAGCCTGGCYTTGGACACTCCAGGGATCCAGGGGCAGCMACAGCTTCTCTGGGAATTCTATTCCAGAGCCTCCCCATCCTCACAGGGAAAAATCCTTCCCCGTTCCACCATCCCAGGATCCTGTGCAAATGAAACAGAACCCAGGATCTGCTGGGGTGAGCATAGAGAACCTCCCATCGTGCAATTCCTTTACAGGGAATTGATCCCATCACACTCCCTGGCCAAATAATTCCATAATTCAATAATTCAATAACTCATTAGCTCAATAATTCAGTTCTAATATAAGAGAAAATGGAAGTGATTTGTAAAAGACTGCTTGGAATTCACTCTTCCTCTCTTTTCCTTCCTCTCCCAATTTTCCTTTCCAGGAACAAGATGCCTGTGAAATTCCACCTCTAGGAGAAGAACCACAGAGCAGAAGCCATGGACCCACTGGACTTTTCCAGCCCGTTCAGCACGGAAGCGGTTCCCGGCGGGGAGAACTCCTCTCTGCTGCCCAATGTGACAGAGAACGGGACGCTGGCGGAGCAGCCACCATTCCAATACATCCACAAGGTGCTCATCCCCGTCTGTTACCTGCTGGTCTGCGCCCTGGGGCTCAGTGGCAAYGCCCTGGTCATCTACGTGGTGCTGCGCCACGCCAAGATGAAAACGGTCACCAACATCTACATCCTCAACCTGGCCGTGGCCGACGTGCTCTTCATGCTGGGCCTGCCCTTCCTGGCCACCCAGAAYGCCATCTCCTACTGGCCCTTCGGCTCCTTCCTGTGCCGCCTGGTGATGACCGTGGACGGCATCAACCAGTTCACCAGCATCTTCTGCCTGACGGTGATGAGCATGGACCGCTACCTGGCCGTGGTGCACCCCATCAAATCCACCAAGTGGAGACGGCCCAGRGTGGCCAAACTCATCAGTGCCACTGTCTGGACCTTCTCCTTCTTGGTGGTGCTGCCCGTGATCATCTTCTCGGACGTGCAGGAGGACTTCCAGACGTGCAACATGAGCTGGCCGGAGCCCGTCAGCGTCTGGTCGGCGGCGTTCATCGTCTACACCTCGGTGCTGGGCTTCTTCGGCCCCTTGCTGGTCATCTGCCTGTGCTACCTGCTCATCGTGGTCAAGGTCAAGTCGTCGGGGATCCGCGTTGGGTCCACGCGGCGCCGCCGCTCCGAGCGGAAGGTCACCAGGATGGTGGTCATCATCGTGGTGGTGTTCGTCTTCTGCTGGCTCCCCTTCTACACCATGAACATCGTCAACCTGGTCCTCATCCTGCCCGCYGACCCCGTCCTCGAGGGCCTCTACTTCTTCATGGTGGTGCTGTCCTACGCCAACAGCTGCGCCAACCCCATCCTCTACGGCTTCCTCTCCGACAAYTTCAAGCAGAGCTTCCGGAAGGTTCTCTGCCTCCGGAAAGGCGACGGGCCAGAGGATGGGGAGCCCGTGGAGCACAGGATGGAGAACAGCAGCCGCCTGCAGGAGTCCATGCTGACCCAGAGGAACGCGGAATTCAATGGGCACATGCAGACCAGCAAGGTCTGAGGGCATGGCCTGGCACTGAGAGTGTCCTGGGGGAYTTTGGGGACACCATGGAGGGCACGGCCTGGGCGTGAGGGTCCCCTGGAGGACTTGGGGACATCATGGAGGGCATGGCCTGGGCATGAGAATCCCCTGAAGGACTTGGGGACATCAAGGAGGGCACAGCCTGAGGACGTAGAGGGTCCTGAAGGACTTGGGGATGTCAAGGAGGGCAAGGCCTGGCACTGCAGAGTGTCCTGAGGGATTTGGGGACGTTGAGGAGGGCAGGGCCTGGGCATGAGTGTCCCCTGGAGGACTTGGAGACATCAACGAGGGCATGGCCTGGCTCTGCAGAGTGCCCTGGAGGACTTGGGGACATCAAGTAAGGCAGAGCCTGGCACTGAGAGTGTCCTGAAGGACCTGGGGACATCAAGGAGGGCATGGCCTGAGGATGTAGARTGTCCTGAAGGACTTGGGGACCTTAAGGAGGACATGGCCAGGGTATGAGAATCCCCTGGAAGACTTGGGGACCTCAAGGAGGGCATGGCCTGGCACTGCAGAGACCTGGGGATCTCAAGGAGGGYTCAAAGGGAAAACTTGGAGCCCCAMAAGCTCCAATCCATGCACAGGGAGGGCTCTTCCCGGCCTTTCCCAGCTGGAAGTGCCAAGCTCTGGTGGTGTCCCACTGGATCTGCTGTTTGTGACCGCTCTGGGTCCTCCAGGGGACAATTCCCAGGCTTTGTGCCCCTCTGGTGACACMAACCAATGCTGAGCCAGCTTGAACTGCCTCATAAAACTGTGTTTAAGAACTGCTCTGCACTGCTGGAATCAGCTCTGGACATAAAACAGCCCAGCCGGGATCTTTGGGATTCTCCAAAGGGATTTCTTAAAGGAAAAGGAGATTTCAGAGTTTTGCACAGAAAAGGCCCCAGCACTGGCCTGGAAATGGGTTCTAACAATCTGGGTGGTGCCTCTGCTTTGTTTTCCTATCCTAAACCCAACCCAGTGATCCAGAACAGTCAGGAATCCTACAAACATGGCAAGAAATCAAAAACCCCAAAATAAGGAAAATATTTCTGAAAGGAATCAGCATGTCCATAACATCTGCACCTTCTCTCCCCTATAAAAACTCCTTGCAAGCAGCAGTGACCCCACAAAATGCAAGAGCCTCAAAATCTTTGAATTTGACCCTAATTCTCCTCTTGACATAGAGCAGGACTGGGTTCCTGTTAATTTTCCATAAATCTCCAAAGAATTTGGAACTGTGTGCAGCCCCAGGGGACTGAGAAGATTCAACTGGTGACTGATTTGTTTTCTAATTTGCAGCCACTCCAACCTAATTTTATTTCCTGAGCCGAGCGTAGGAGTCACGCTCCAGGGAATGAAGAAATGGTGATTTTAAAAGGAATTCTGATCTGACAAACACATTTCATTTAACGCAGTGTGTTCCCATCAAAACGGGGGAATTATGAGGAAGGGATGGCTCCAGTCCATCCTGGATTCTTTGGGATGTGGGGTTTGGTTTATGGGGTTGATTTGGGGCAGAYCTTGGGGGAATTCCTCATTTTGACYTTTTGGGTTGCTTTGGTGTGAGCTGGGCTGGGATTCCCTCGATTTTTCACCCAAAATGATCCCTCCTGGAAGCTCCAGAATGGGAATGACTGGAGAGCTCCAAGCTGGGGCAGGAGCTTCTGCCTCAGAAAGAAAAAGGGTTTTGATAAAATGCAGATTTATGGGAAGGAGTTAAACCTCAGCATTGCTTGGGCAAAGAGCATTCCTCTCCTCATTCAGTTTGATCAAACCCTTGGAATTAACAGAGGGAAGTTTTATCTGGAGAGAACAGACCCTGGGAAAGGGGTGGACAAACCTGGGCCTTGTTCTCAACCCCACCCTGACCGACCCCACCTCTCCTTCCCACCAACCCTGGGTCAGGATTGGGATCCCAATTCACAGAAAACAGATATTCCAGCCAGCCCATCCCACAATCCCATGGATAATGCTGCAATCCTATATTTAAGGAGGAAATTTAGGAAAGCTCCCCACGCTCCAATTCCCAGGAAAATTCCATTTCCAGCAAACATTCAGTGCYGTGGGAATGCTGCTTTGGAGTAGCTCTTTTCCTGGCCCAGGGAATYTTTTCCTCCTGCAGGAATCATCTCTCCCAGCACCACGCAGCCTTTGCTCCATGGGATTCCCTCCCCATCCCAAAAATCCTTCCCTCACACCCGAGTTGTGCCTTTGAAAGCTCCTCCAGTTCTTTCCCCGAATCCCAAACGCCATTCCCGGGTTTTCCCTGGCAGCTTGGCTGTGGAATTTTGAGGAACCGGGCGAGCTGACAACATCTCCGTGCACATTCCATCAAAACATGTCATCCTTCCACAAAGACTGACAAATCCCCGGGAAAATCTGTCCTCCCAGCCAGCCCTTCCCGGGAAGCTCCAGACAGCAGCGACACTCCCCAAATCCCTGATTTTTTTTCACACATTCCAGCCCCTGTCCCTCAGATTGAGTGACATTTTTAATACCTCGACAGACAATCCTTCAGAATTCCAGCTTATTCAGCTTTTCCTTTGATTTATCCAAGGGTTCCAAATGCTTGGCTCCATTCTGCTGGAAAAAAAAAGAAAAAAAGTCCACGGGAAGGTCACGGAAAATTTGTCCGGCGCCCACCTGACTTTCAGGAGGTGGAGAAATCTATTGGAAAAAAAAAAAAAAAAAAAAAAAAAAAAAAAAAAAAGAAATAAAATAATAAATAGTGAATAAAAAAATGAATCGGTGTTTCTGGTTAAGTCTCTGGTTATGAATATTCAATGAGATCCATGGAATAAAGGGAATTCTGAGTGCTGGATACCAAAGGGCTTTGCTGAAAGATGTGTGGAAAATTTCAACCTTTGAGACACAGGAACACCTTTCTTCAGGAATTCATTTTTTATTCCATGGAAAATGGGGTTTAATTGAGGGGGAAAGGAACAGATTCAGTTTGGACAAGCGGCAATAGGAGGCAGCAATTCCAAAGGGAAGATTCCAGGTGGAATTGGGATTAAAGGGCTTCTGTAGGGTCACCATGGAATTCTGTGGCTTTGGGATCTCTCCTGGCTGATCTCCAAGGGAGGAACACCCCAGGCATGTGCCTGAACTGTGGAATTTATCCAGGGATCGATGGATTTATCTTGGAGTAAGAGCAGGGCGAGGACTGAATTTTTGCACCTTCCCTCTCTAACTCCCATTTAAACCCATCTTTCTGTCCCCTGAGGCTCCCGGTTCCAGGGATGGGATTATCCCTGGAATCCAAACATTTTCTGAGGCCCAAAATCCTGGCCCATCAGCAGCATCCTTAAAAACTGCAAATCCAGGCGTTTCAGCGCCTTTCCCTGCTCCTTGGAACTGCAGCCGAGGCAGGAATTGCTGATTTTATTCCCGTGGTTTATTCCCAGGGTGGTTTATTCCCAGGGTGGTTTATTCCCAGGATAGTTTATTCCCGGGATGTTTCCAGCCCCTCGGTCACCTGGAATGCCCCAGTTTCTCACCTCATCCTGCACTCGCTTTTCCTGCACCGTTCATTCCCGTCCGGTTCAGGATTGTTTGGGGAACTCCATGGAAATCCAGCGCCGTCGCTGCGGGGTTTCCATGTTCCCTCTCCCTCTCCCGCTGCAATCCCATAACATTTAATYCTCCCTTTTCCCCATCATTCTCTGAAAAGCCGTTCCAGGTGAAACTGGCTCCTCTGGCTCCTTCCTCTTGAGCCTTTAAGCCCCGGATCATTCCTGACCTGGAGTCGGGAGTCATTCCCAAACACGGGATGTGTCCCATTCCCGCAGCTGCTTGGCTTTAACTGGGGTGAACCCGCAGCGCTTTTCCCGAAGGAAAAGCAGCAATCCTTAGAAAAAGTGGGAGATGAACCGTTCTGGCTGGTGGTATGGGGGATAACGAAGAAATTTCCGTCAGAATTTGATCCTGGATGCAAACACAGCCGAGCCCTGGAAATGCAGTGATCTGGGAATTCTCATCAGGGAAGAGTTTTCCCTGCATCATCCATGGATCCTCTCTCCCTCTGCCCGGTGGATTCAGATTTTACAATCCCGGTTCATCCCTCTCAGATGGAAGGTCCAGGATTGCAACCACCGCTGCTCCAGACTATCCTGGTTTTATATTCCAGAGGGAGATTTGGGGCTTCTCCTCCTCCTGCTCTAGGGGTGAAT